AACTTGGCTGGCCATCAGAATCTCATAGGAAGGAGTTGGGGAGGGCGGGGAGAAAGAGAGAGAGAGAGAGAGAGAGAGAGAGAGAGAGAGAGAGAGTGTGTGTGTGTGTGTGTGTATGTGTGTATTTAACTACAAATTTCTGCCTGGGTGTAGTGGTGCGAACCTGTAGCCCCAGCTACTCAGGAGGCTGAGGCAGGAGGATCACTTGAGCCCAGGAGTTCAAGTCTCGCCTAGACAACATAGCAAGACCTCATCTCCTTCAATCAACCAATCAATACAGATTTCTGGGCTCAACCCCCATAGATTCAGATTTACTAAGTATGAGGTATAGCTTGGGAATCTGTACACTGATAAAGCTCCCCGGGAGACTCTGATGATCGGTCATGTTTTAGAAAACCTATCGTAATAAGTTTATTTTACAAAAAGAGTCCATTTTACCTTTCTACCAGTCTTCTATTATCATTTTCAATTTCTGCTTTTCTGTTTTTTGTTTTGAGACGGAGTCTCGCTCTGTTGCCCAGGCTGGAATGCAGTGGTGCAATCTCGGCTCACTGCAATCTCCGCTTCCTTGGTTCAAGCAATTCTCTGCCTCAGGCTCCCGAGTAGCAGGCGCCCACCACCACACCCAGCTAATTTTTGTATTTTTAGTAGAGATGGGGTTTCACCATGTTGACCAGGCAAGTCTTGAACTCCAGACCTCGTGATCCACCCACCTCAACCTCCCAAAGTGCTGGGATTACAGGCGTGACCCGCCACGCCCAGCCCAATTTCTGTTTTTTAATAAGCAACAAATAGCCTACTGCAAGCCTAACACTGTTCTAAAGGTTAATGTGCCTTATCTTCTCTAACCATCACAACTCTGTGAGACAGGAAAATATTACTGCCATTTTACAGACGAGGAAACTGAAGTCTAGAGAAGTTTTAACAAAATTATTCAACCAGCAACTAGTATAGCCAGAATTCAAAGTCACACTTGTAAGTCTCCAAAGCCTACCTCTCCTGGAACATGAACAATGACTCAAATGGCTGAATTTTTAGCCTTGCTTCTGATACATTTTAGACAGTTATCTGAACATCACCTGTTTCCTCAGCTGTAAACATGGCTAATAATAATATCTATCCTACTTAGCTCAAGACTTTTGAGAGAATCAAGATGTGAAACTGCGTTCAAAGTCACGAACAATTACTGAAAAACAAAAAACAAGCTATTAATGGTGGAATTAGAGAGGACTGAGAAACAATCTGGCATAGTAAAAGGTTAAATGCACAGACTCTGGAGCCAAGCTTCAGGGTCTGAATCAAAGCTCTACTATTTCCTAGCTATGTAACCTTGGGGAAGTTACTTAATTTTTCTGTGCAATGGTTTCCGCATCTGCAAAATGCAGATAAAAAAAACTGATTGCAGAATTTTTTGCAGAATTTTATAAGGATTAAATGAATTAATGCATGTAAAATGCTTAGAATAGTGTTTGCCACATAGTAAGCACTCAACAAGTGCTGGATGTTAGAATCCTATACAATTTTTTAAAGAAAACATCACATTAAAAAAAAAAAAAGTTCAAATACTTAGTGACAACACAAAAGGACACTAGAAGGTGGTGGCATTTTCCTCCCTTATAGAAATCAGGGTAAATCCCTCCAATTTTGAAAGGAAACATTCTGGGTAGTTTCAATTTTCAACTACAATTATGTTGCTTCCAAAATGCTTCATTTGTGCAAATAGTTAAGATCACTCGCTGTAAAGTCGTATCTACTTTTTCATTTTTAAGTATCTTTTAACTGAAAAATATCTCTTTGATTTTTATTTTAAGTTCTGGGATACATGTGCAGGACCTGCAGGTTTGTTACATAGGTAAACATGTGTCATGATGGTTTGCTGTACCTATCAACCCATCACCTAGGTATTAAGCCACATATGCATTAGCTATTTATCCTGATGCTTTCCCTCACCCCACTGTGCTCCCTCTCCATAGGACCCAGTGTGTGTTATTCCCCTTCCTGTGTCCATGTGTTCTCACTGTTCAGCTCCCACTTATAAGTGAGAATATGTGGTGTTTGGTTTTCTGTTCCTGTGTTAGTCTGCTGAGGATAATGGCTTCCAGTTCCATCCATGTCCCTGCAAAGGATATGATATAGTTCCTTTTTATGGCTGCACAATATTCCATGGAGTGTATGTACCACATTTTCTTTATCCAGTCTATCATTGATGGGCATTTGAGAGTTGATGCAACTCAAACGTAACCCAAAACTATAAAAACCCTACAAGAAAATCTAGGCAATGCCATTAAGGACATTAGCACAGGCAAAAATTTCATGATCAATACCAATTGCAACAAAAGCAAGAATTGACAAATGGGATCTAATGAACTAAGGAGCTTCTGTAAGGCAAAAGAAACTACCATCAGAGTGAACAGACAAACTACAAAATGGGAGAAAGTTTTTGCAATCTATCCATTTGACAAAGATCTAATATCCAGAATCTGCAAGGAACTTAAACAAATTTACAAGAAAAAAAAAAACCATTAAAAAGTGGGCAAAGGACATGAACAGATACTTCTCAAAAGAAGTCATGTATGCAGCCAACAAGCATGAAAAAAAGCTCAACATCACTGATCGTTAGAGAAATGCAAATCAAAACCACAATGAGAAACCACTCACACCAGTCAGAATGGCGATTATTAAAAAGTCAAGAAACAACAGATGCTGACAAGGCTGTGGAGAAATAGGAATGCTTCTACACTGTTGGTGAGAATGTAAATTAGTTCAACCATTGTAGAAGACAGTGTGGTGATTCCTCAAAGACCTAGAACCAGAAATACCATTTGACACAGCAATCCCATTACCTGAAGGAATATAAATCATTCTATTATAAAAATACCTCCACATGTATGTTCACTGGAGCACTATTCACAACAGCAAAGACATGGAATCAATCCAAACGCTCTCACTGATTTTTAATATATTTTTGTTATAGTAATATCACAATTTCTTATCAGGTTTTAGGTAGTAACTTTCCTTTGCTTCAAACAGCCTCCTACAGCATTTGACTTCTAATTCAAAAGCTAACTGAGTAGCTTCCAAAAGGAAAATCGTAACAATGAGCTGGATCAAAAGAGTGTGTAATGTGTCAAAAGGAAACTACACTATTCCTAAATGAGTTATTTACTAATAACAAAGAGGAAGTGCTATGGTAATAATTCTCACCAAAAAAATATAATTTAATGATGCTCTTAATGATGTTCTAAGCAACTCTCATACCATATTAGTTTACGGTCAGTCTGCAGTTGCAGATAGAGTCTGAAACAAAGTTGGCAATTGACTAAGAAATCCCAGCTGGTAGTCATGTTAAATTTCCAATATACTGCAGGAAA